TTCTGAAGTTTAGAGGGTATTAGCTTATTCTTATTAAAACTTTATATTACTTTAGTCTGGACAACAGCTGCCATACCTCAACATTAAGATTTTGGAAGTTAAATACAATTAATAATGCTAACAAAAACAGCAGCAAGGATAACAAACAAGAATTGGGGATGTGTGTGCTCTCCATGAGGTGCTCTATAGCTCAGCAACTAAGTGCTCAGCTGCTAACCCAAAAATCAGGGGTTCAAACCTACCTACTAGTTGGAAGGAGAAAGATCTGGCAGTCACTTCTGTAAAGGTGACAGCTTTGGAAATGCTATTGGGCAGCTAAACTTTGCCGATAAAGTTGTTGCGAGTGAGAATCAACTCAGCAACAAGACATGCTTTGTGTAACAATCTCTCATTTAATCCTTCCAATAACCTCATCCAGCAGCTAGTATTATCCTCAATGGAAGGGAAAGAAATTCTCCAGAGAGTTTGGTAACACTCAATAGCACATGGTTAATATGCTTCAACAGAGTAAGATGGGATCCCAAAGCTCTAAACCCCAAAGATAATGGCCTTTCTGATTTACTGACAATAGATTTCCTACCTAATATAAAAGTCAAATATAATTTTAGGATCGTGAAAATACTAACATGAGATAGACATTATATTTTCATACAACATCGAACAGATTCTTGATTTGACTACTTGGTTTTGTAAAAATGGATAACTATATAATTGAATTTTGCAATTAAAGTATGTTGAGAAATAAGAGGACACACTAGATTTGATTCCTTTTAGACACAGTCTAACAAAATAATATATTTTCCAATTAATCTGTATACACATCTCAAAGTGTTACTGTAAACTAAGCCCACCAGATACATCAGAAAAACAAACCTGTGTGTCCAAACTAGAGAGCAAGCCTGTTGACTACAGCAGATCGGGGTTAAACAACTACTAGTGAGACAAAAAAATAAAATATATCAGGTTAAAAGTTTATTTTTTTACCTCTAAAGATAATGGTAGTGTGTGGAACCCAAAATTAAGGACAGAAGACCCTCACTCATTCTCTGGTTGGTCATTATTTCTCTCTCAAATGTCAGCCCGTGGGTCTAAATGCTTACTAACTAGATCCCAATGCCCCGACAGACAACTCAGACTCAACCTATCTCAAATGGAACACACTCCCCTAGACTAGCCCTCTTATTTCCCTTTCAGGAAGAATAGACTTTTCAGTCAGACCTACAAAGGATAATCATCTGAGGTTTCTCTCTTTCCCCGAGGATTCCCCGGTACCCTCCTTCTATGGAGTTAATCAGTTCTATAGATCCTGCTTCCATAAGATAACTCAAGCCCTCATTTCAAGAGTGGAGTCTGTGGTAACAGTCTCCTAATCACTACTTCTTTATCTGTATTTTCTTCATCTGTGTCCTTCTAATTTTTGTTTTGAATTTCCAACTCATAAAGACCAACACTTTTACAAAAATGAGTAACATAAAAATCATTCTAAAAATGAAATAATAGGTGGTTTACATAACATTTTCAAGGTAGTGAAACTATTCTGCAGGATACTACAGTGGTAGGCTCATGGCATTATGTATTTGTCAAAACCTGTATGACTGTAAAGCACTGAGAGCCCAGCCCTAATATAAAGTGTAGATGTTAGTTAATAATAATATACCAATATCAGTTTATCAACTAACAACTTACCACAATGATGCAAAATGTTAATAACAGCTGAAACAGTACCCATGGGGCAAGTGGACTATGGGGAACTCTTACTTTGAATACAATTTTTCTCTAAATCTAGAACTGCTTTTTAAAAATATCAACAATTAAAATCTGATAGGAAAAAAAGAGAGATGAGATTCGAGGCCCATCTTTTTAGTTTTATACTAACATAAGCTAATCATCTCTCAAACAGCTATAAAGGTTTCTAACCACTTGTTCTCAATTTCCTTTTAAAGTGTATGTTTTCTTGGGCACTGTCCTCCACACCCGTCTTCCAGTTCAGTCCACAGTGCTTGCAGGGTAATGCTTATCTACATCAGATTTCTCTCTGGTTTAAAGTCCTTTGATCATAACCCACTCCACCTCATTTCCTTTTCATCTTGGCCACTGCCCAGCTCTCCTGTTCAATACTACCATCCTCAAATGCCTGGACTCCCAGAACATACTGCTAGTCTGCTCTGAATGGCTTCCTCTATCTTTCCTACAAGTTCATGCAGGTGCTCATTTCTCAAGGCTCACATAATGTCCATAGTTGATTTCCATGAACCTTTCCTTCTTTCCCAATTTCAACAGAATGAAAGCAACTCTCTCTTCTGGACTCCCATACAGACCCCACAAGGCAGTGTAGAGCTGTCCTATAGGGTTTTTCCGGGGCTGTAAATCTTTATAAAAGCAGACTACCACATCCTTTTCCTGTGGAGCGACTAGTAGGTCTGAACCCCAGGCCTTTCAGTTAGCAGCCAAGCACTTAACCACTGGGCCACCAGGGTTCCCAGTTGGACACTCAGTATTACACAAGCTATGAAAACCTGGTGCTAAAAGCAAAGGAAAAGATTTCAAGTGCTACATACATTATATTTAACAAGTATAAAACTCAAACCCACAGGAAAAATGAAAGCAAATAGATTAAACTTCAAATAGTAGTTGTGCTCGTATAATGATTAAGTTATGAGCATTTTTCAATATTCAAGTGTTATAATATGGCCATATCTTTTCATTATACATTTTTAATTCAGTTACAACAGACAATTTTGTACATTGCCATATATTCATTACTATCATGTTTTAATCGCTGCAATAAATGTCATCTTTAAAATAGGCCATAGCTTACACAGTCATTACTCTAACATTGGATTTCAGGATGCTTTTAATTTTGTGCTTCTGATAAATAACGTATTGAAAAATTTTGTAGCTACATGTTTTCTCTAAATTTTGTATTATTTTCTTAGGGTAAGTTCCCATGTATAGAACAGAAGAGAAAGAGCAAACTTATTATTGTGAAAACTGCTTCCCAGGAAGTTGTTACCAGTTTATAACACCATCAATATGTACAAATGGGCTTGATACAATTTATGTATGGATTGTTATGTTTCAAATGTTCATGTATAAGGATATTCAATAAAGAAGTAGCTAAAATATTACAACTCCCCCACCTATTTAATCTGTAAAAGCAAGAGCAAAAGCTGTAATCAAAGACAGTACGTATAACCATATTTTAAAATTTTTTTTAAAATTTAAGAATTGGAAGTTCCCCATAAAAGTGAGGAGAGAAAACCCAAGAATTTAGTAAACTTATCATTAGTCTAAAAGCGTGATGCCTTGAAGATAGCTGAGGTCTCAAATGTCACAGCATTCTCCATACGCAAACAGACAACCTTCCGCGTGTCGGAGGAACTACTGTGTGCCAAGCACTCTTCACGGGGCTTTTGACATTGTTTTTTTTGAGTGATGCAGTCTACATACGATTACTAGCTCCTTTTATAGATGATGGTGCACAGAGCTTCTTCTCAGCTGGTAATTGAACGATTAAAGAAGACTTAAGTACATGGTACTTGAAAAAACAGATACTTTTCCATGGAATTGATTCTGACTCACAGTGATCTTAAAGGACAGAGGAGAACTTCCCGTAGGGCTTCCACAGCTATACATCTTTATTGATGCATGCAGAGTGCCATAGTGTTCTCCCATGGAGAGCCTGTGGATTCAAACTGCTGATCTTTCTGCTCAGATGAATACTTAAACCCCTGTGCCAGGAGCGTTCTTTTATAAGAGCACATTTTCTATTAAGTCACAAAATCTGACCCCATTACTGTTTCAAGGGGATCTGCTGGGTCAGTTAAGTGCAAGTGAGAGAAGTCAATTCAGTAGGTTAGGGCTATTAATGTTTTTGAGATTCCAAAGAGGCTAAAATAATCTAGATAGATTTTCCTGACAGACACAGGGCTTCTTATGAAGAAGGGTCCAGAAAATTGAAACTTCATCAGTTGGGGGGCGGGATGGGGTTAGAAAGTTGTGCCATGAATTGTTTTCCATTGTGAAAATGCACCTGCTTTCAAGGGCTGTTTGATGAGAATTTAATGGGGAAGCTTTCTTCCATCAACTTCACTGCCCTGATCTTGCCCTTCAACCTTCTCTCTGTTGCCAAAGCTCAAAGAACATCTAAACTAGGGGCACAGGTTGAAACAACTGAGGATGCCATGGTGTAAACGGATATACTCCAGGAGGGCTAGAGAAAGAGAAGCACAGCTGTCATAAGTATGAAGGCCTACATGAAGGGTGTGTCAAAAAAACAAATGCTTCACAGTTTTCAACTTTCGTTTACTGAAAGTTTCTATTGTTTTGTGGCAATCCTTTTTGGCTTATCCTGGTATGCTAAATGACTACTGGATATTTCTAGTATTTTTCTTCTCATAACTTAATCATTATACGAACACTGTGTTAACAATGCAACACAAAAATTCATCTAAGGCCAAAGTGGGATCCTACTTCATCCTATAAACTGCAACAGTGTTAACTGGGAATGAAAAATTTTTTAATTAGCATATATTACCAATATTTGAAAACAGAATTGGAATTCAAATCACAAGGATGTAAAAATGTTAAACAAAATGTAACAAAATATACAACTGCTTATGATTTTAAAGACATTTTTAAAATGAAGCTACAAGAAGTATGTCCACACTAAGGAAATGAAGGATTCATTTGAAAATGTATTGTAAATATCTAAAAGTGAGCCACAGGGACATGTTTAAAAACATCAATAAAGATGAAAGGAAACACTTATGTTTCTTTTAAAATTAGCCTTTTCTATGCTAGCAATGGCACAATCGAATAATAATTCAATGGAAAGAGCAACATTAGGGAAACTAGGTTGGCTAACGGTTAATACAACTTTCTGTAAGCACCGTGTTCTTATTTTGGCTTAATATTAATGTGGATTTTGTCGCTGTTGCTCGTTTTTTGTGTTATCTCAACACAAAAACGGTGGCGGTGACGTGACATATGTGACTTGCCTGAGTGAGAAATGAGAGGAACAGAGCCCAAGGGGTCTTCTGGAGGGTGGTTATGTGGAGACGAAAGTGGGTCTACATTCTTATCAGAGGATGCACTTGCCTCGAGCCTGTCTGCAAAAATAAGATGAAACAAAAAGTAAAATAAAAACAAAATGGTCTTAAGTTCTTAATGTGACAGTATAAGCAAAAGCAAAAATTAAACACAAAATATAACTTTGTGGGGGCAGCCCTGTGTTTAATACTGTTAAATATTAAACTGAAGTAGCATATTTGTTGCTACCCAAGAAAATTGAACAATGTAACCTCAGTGCTGAATAACTGAAATTAACCCAGTAAGTGCTCAGTCTGGTCCTTTGACATAACCGTTTGCCCTCAACTGGTAGCATTAGCATACTAGTACAGAACTCAAAACCAGCTGACAGCTGTAGTTGCCAGATTTTTTCCACAGAAATGTATACAGAAATGTGAAATGTTACAAAATGATCAATAATCCATGAGGTAGGCAAATCCTATTTAACAGTAGCAATGAAAGTAATTCATTAAATTTGTTCATTTTTCTGTTAATTTGTAATTATCCCACCATTAACACGCACACAAAACAAACATTTCTCTACTAGATTAAAAACATGAATGACAGTGTAGATTCACTCAAACATTTGATCACTTAGGTCGTGGTAGGTACTGTTGTAGGCACATGGATGTAACATCTAACAAAACAGCAAGGCCCCCTCCTCTCATGGAGCTTATATGCTAGAAGAAACATACACAGCTATACAACAAAATGTAATGCAAGGTAGGAAGATAAAAGAAGTACTGCTTACGCTAATAAACAAGAGTGGTTCCGATATTTAAGAGGCGAGGCCTGAAAACAGGTGTGAGGAATGTGAGTGAGTGGATGACTGGAGAACCCTTCAGGAAGAAGAGCCAGAGCAAAGGTCTAAGGCAGGGACAGGCTTGGTGCATTGAAAGCACAGTTGATGTATCTCAGTTCCCTAGGAATGATCATCTTTTCCCAGCTGTTCCTTGAGTCGTATCATACGGCAACTCCGTGTAGGTCAAGAGAAGAACTTTGCTCCTGAAGGTCAGAAGTAGATCGTCAGGGGACTGGCACCGCCAACCTTTTGATTACCACTGGAGCACATGAACCATTGGCAGTATTCAGGGATGTTAACTAGTATTTGTTGTTGTTGTTGTTATCAGTGAACTGCGCCCAACTCATGTTACCTCCATGTGTTAGAGTACAACTGCTCCACTGAGTTGTCCTGGCTAGAATTTTAACAGAAACGGATCTCCAGACCTTTTCTTCCACAGTACTTCCACGTGGGTTCAAAATTTCACACTTTAGGTCAGCAATTGAGCATATGACATTTACAGCAAGTAGGCACCCTCCATATTTAGGGTAACTCACATTTATGGTTTCTACCAATAAACTATGCTGGTTGCAATTGCACTCAAGAATTGCTAAGTTGAAGGAAGGGTGAAGAGGGAAGTCCACAGACAATTCCAATTCTTTTAAAAAATGACTCCTAACCTCGCTTCAAGAAAAAGTCCACCGTTGAAGCAGCACCTCCTAAGACAGTGGTTGTCAAACTTTAATAGGATGCCAATCACCTGGGAACTTTGAAAAATGCAGACTCTGACAAGAGTACGACGGGTCTTCTGGTTTTGCTTTTTAGCAACCTCCCAAGTGATATAGATGCTGCTAGTCCAGGGGCCGACAAAGCATGACAGACATCCACAATACACTCTAAAAGAGGATGCTATGTGATAGGACATGTGAAAACATGCCTAAATCACAAACAATAGAGCATTTACTGATCTCCCACCTTTCTTTGATAGCCTTGTGTTTCACTTCCGATCAATATCAATTCTTTGCTGCTCCTTTCACTAGCATTGAGCTCACTTGGGAACCATGATGCATTTCATGGTAGTATTTTTACAAAAGAAAATTAAACAGAGACATAATGCTACAACCTTCAAGACATGAGACACCTGTGCCTACTACCTGTGCCTAAGAGTTGGAAGTGCACATTGTTACACAGTAAACTTGTTATTTATTTGTATTGTGCTATTAATTTATTTTTATTAACAGATAGATTGCACGTGAAAATAGAAAGTACAGTATAGTACATATATAAGCCAGTAACATAGGTGTTGATTATGACTAGCAAGACACATATATTACAGTTTATATATGTAATGTTCCACTCTGTACATATGTACAGATCCTCAATGATAAAGATGAACACTGTGCCATGAACAATGGGCTCAAACATAACAATTGTGAGGATGCCACAAGACAAGGCAGTGTTTCTGTTGTACACAGAATCGCTCAGAGTGGGAACAGACTAGAGGGCAGCTAGCAACAATGAACCGTTATATGCCTGCAGTACAATCACTTTTGATTTGCAAAACATAGGAGATGCGAAGGGATACCTCAAAATAAACTGGAATCCCCCCACCCCAAAAAAAAACACGTTTAGATATTTTTTACGAAATAACCAATTCACCTTCAAAGTACACTTAATACATTTGTCAAATCTGCAAGTCCATTCTTGGAAACATTTTTCAAATTCCTGTTTAGATGACTAAAAGCATCTCCCTCGTTTTGTTTCTTCACATCTTCTATGTGGTCAAATCACTTTCCTTTCATGTTACTCTGCATTTGCTGAAACAAAAAGAAGTTGTAAGGAGCAAGGTGAGGCAATTCAGGTGTGTGGGGCAAGAGTGGCATGCTGTTTTTTGCCAAAAACTGGCACACTGACATAGCAGCGTGAACAGATGCATTGTCATGGTGGCAAAACCAGTCCCGTCTGCCACAAATCAGGGCCCTTTTTGTCACACACTATTACCCAATCCTTGAAGAACCTCTAAATAGAAAGCCTGATTAAGTCTGACCTGGTGGAGCAAACTGCAAATGCACTATCCCCCTCACATCCAAAAAAAGAAATGAACATCATCTTGATCTTTGATTGAACTTGACGAGCTTTTGGGGGGTGGGCGGGACAAGGTGACGATGGTGTCTTCTGCTGGCTTGAATGATTGCGTTCAGGGTTGTTAAGACTAACACCATGTCACCTCATCAGTAATGACCTTGAAAAAAAAGCCTGGGTTGCTTCAGAGCTGTTCCTTCAAAGCACAGCATGTTTCTACTCGAAGCTCCTTTTCCTGGTCAAAACCCTAGGCACAAATTTCGCAGCAAGCCATCTCATGCCCGAATCTTCCACTAAAATTTGCTGAACGGAGGCTTAAGACAGTCCAGATAACTTCCCCATCTCTTCAAAGGTCCTGCTGTAAGTCTTCGAGCACAGGTGCACACATTTTGTCAACATTTTCGTCCATTCGGGAAGTTAACAGATGTCCTGAACAAGTTTTGTCATCAATCAACATTTCACCTTTTTGAAATAAGAAAACCACTCATACACTTAGGTTTCCCATAACGCTGTCCTGGTAAGCTGTGTTCAACCTCACGACAGTTTCTGCGGCATTTTCCCCAAGCAGGAAACAAAATTTCACAACCACACACTGTTCTCTTCAGCCATCACAAAAAATAAGGTGTGAAACTGGTTTTACGAAAAAAATTCACTGTGACCAGAGAGAACCTTCCCAGGCAATGCACTAACTACTCAGAGCCAGTAGCTAGGTTCTTTCTTAGTGGGGAAAATGCGTACTACAAAATGCATACTCCACTCCACCCAGCAGAGTTTTCTAGGGTTTTGGGGGGTACCCCCGCATACACGTGTTACATGTTGCAATTTGTATTGTGTGCTTCTGGTTACATCTGCTATATTCTAGTCACCTGGTCCAGATTTCATAACCCTGTGCCAACAGACAATATGAGACTCATGGCTGTATTTAAGTATGGCTAAAGACATATACTACATACATTTTATATACACAAATTTAACATGTAGGTGTACATATTAATTCATTGTTTTTATGGCTCAGACAATGTTATCTACTTAAAACTTTTGAGTTATTTAAAATTCTACTTATTTTATTCAAATGTTAAATACTATATTGCTGAGGCACTGATGTTGAGTCACTGAATCAACTATACAACTTCCAAAACTTAAGTATTTTTTAAAAATATGACAATAGAGAACAATGAAAGTTATTTAGGTAGTATTTTATTTAAATAATACTTAATTTAGGAACTCCGTAACAGTAACAAATTATCATTATGCATTTTTTGAAAACTTAAATTTTAGTGCTTTCTTTTTCAACAGCTACTCATGACTGGTAATGCAATGGTTATGTGCTGGGCTGCGACCTGCAAGGTCAGCAGTTTGAAACCACCAGGTGCTCCAAAGGAGAAAGTTGAAACTTGCTACTCCTGTAAAGAGTGACAGTCTCCGAAACCCACAGGGGAAGTCCTACCCTGTCCTTTAGGGTTGCTATGAGTCAGAGTCAACTAGTAGCGGTTAGTCTTAAGTGTGAAATTATAGAACGGAAAATATCTACAAAGAAGTCTCCTAAAAGTATAATTGGTTAGCTATAGTCCAACCTTAATAAGAGGTCAGAGATCCACTGTCAAGAGAGAATACACCTACCTATGGTCACATACTCTATTAGGCTCTGAATGCACTTTAGGGTATTAACTGTGAAACCGGAGGTTATTCCTCATATCAGAGTGCTGACTTACCCTAATCCATTATCCATTTCCCAAAGCCCAGTGTTCAAATGGTGAGATATGTAGAGGGAGAAAGCAAAAGACTGTCTTTCCTCTCTTCTATTCAGAGTAATAGGCACATTCATCAATATCCTAAAACCCTGAGTCTTTTCAATTAAGTAAGAATATGTAGATATTTCAGTCTGAATTGAAGTCCTTGGGTGATATGAACAGTCAACACATACCTGCTAACTGGAAAGTTGGTAGCTCAAATCCACCCAGAGGGATCGCAGAAGGGCCTGGTGAACTACTTACAAAATAAGCAAGCACTGAAAACCCTATAGACCACACACTCACATACTTGAGAACCATTAGTTGGAATCACCATTAGCTGGTTCTGGCTTAGGTCTGAATTAGGCCCACAGTTCTTTCCCTAAGCACCTACATCATAAGTGCCAACACGCCTATATAAAATATGGCTACTGGGCTATTACACCTA